TAGTTCCAATATTTCAAAAAAGAAGAAGGTAATTTAACTAAAGCTTATAACAAGTGAGGATACATATTACTTTGTTAAACCTCAAGGAGAAATTGTCACATTTTTATACCTCAACCGCTATGGACAGGGGCGGCTCAACAGATCTCGGGGCCTAAGGTGAAACCATATTCGGAGGCCCTTAATCTCAGTATAATCCCAATAATCTCAGTATAATCTCACTAGTGGGCCACTAGTGGGATCTGAAAAAAGTAGTTTGTACGCAGACCTTACCCCTACCCTGGAGTAGAGAGGCTGTTTCCGATAGATCCCCGGCTCCCTCCTTCCAAGAACTCCCCACCTTGCTCTTGGGGTGACTCGAACTCACAACCTCTTGGTTGGAAGTGGAGGGTGCTCACCACTAGAGCAACACACTCTTGTCAAATATACTAATTAATGAGGGAAGAAAAATATCATAATTTATAAATTTATTGTATAAAATAACTTCAATCAAATAACAAAAAATATACTGTAACACTTTTTATTCTAATTATTTATATACATTATATAATATATAATAGTAATAATAATAATAAGAGTTTAAAATAAATTTGGGGCGCCTAAGGTAATTGCCTCACTGCCCAAAGACTTAGAGCCGCCCCGGACTATGGATATATACTTACCAATTGTTTAGGTCTTTTTTATTATAATAAGGTGTATGAAATTTTCGAGTATTTAGATGACACGAGTTCTCTAATAAGTGATGAACAAGATAATTGAGTTTTTTAATACTTCTGTTATAAAAATTAGATATGGTACGAATAAAGTATCTGCTAATCATTTGGATTAGTGAGTTTTTTAATACTTCTGTAATAAAAATTAGATATGGTACGAATAAAGTATCTGCTAATCATTTGGATTAGTGAGTTTTTTAATACTTCTGTAATAAAAATTAGATATGGTACGAATAAAGTATCTGCTAATCATTTGGATTAGTGAGTTTTTTAATACTTCTGTAATAAAAATTAGATATGGTACGAATAAAGTATCTGCTAATCATTTGGATTAGTATTCAAGGTGGAAAGAAACGGAGAATATTCTACTGAAATTGACTTTAGGAGTAGTAATAGTTTATCACATCTCAACCACGTCTGAGTTGGCATTCAAAAGGAATGCAAACAGATTTCTCTGGTCCCACCGTCACAGTCTGCTATTAACTAATATTACTAGATACACTCAATCTTCTATGTAACAATCTCGTTTGTTCCAATAATTTTTTATATTTATAGTAAATAGCATATGATATTTAAATATTTTTTAACCGTTATAAATAAAAATTATCCAAAAATTAATTATTTTTTCTTTTTAATATTATAGGAGTATATAAAAGATAAAAAAATTATTCAAATTTAAAATCTCAAAAGATATGCATATTTCACTAGTTAAATATTGAAAAAAACTAATACATTATTAATAAACTCATAACTAAATGTATAAAGATTTAAACTCTAAGACAGACATTTTAAGGCTACCTAAAAAAATAAATTCTTTCAAGATTGATGGAAGAATTTTGTAATTGTAGCTTGTTCTGTTATGTAGATTTATTCTCTTACTAGCGATATAACGCTTGAATTGGCGAAGATTCGTGTCTAAATTTTCAGCAAGAATCCAATAGCTTTCCTTTTAAGATAATTTAAGAGGTTAACAGTTAAATTTTCTATCTAAATATTTTTTGAAATTTGTCCCATGGAAAGGATATCATGTACAAATCTTCAAATTTTATATCTTGTGCAAGATAGAAACTTTGTTTAATGGAAAAGATTTTGTGCATATTTTTAAAACTATGGTTTGTAATCTCAATGATTCTATATGGCTGTTATAGAGGAGTAATTTTACAAAGATCGTTCTGCTATAAATATGGTCATTGTTGTTATAGGTAAAAAGTTGTTATAAAGAGGTAAAATATAACTTAAAAAATCAATTCCGGAAAAAACTTGATTTTTATAGTGAATGACTTTATATATAGATATTATTATAGAGAGGTCTGACCGTACATACCAACTCTGGTTAGTATTTACGACCAATAAAAGTAGTCATTACTCTTTAGGCGTAAGATGTTCTTTTTTTATTCTCCATAAGATAAAGGCATAACAAGTTATAAATCGTTATTACATGTTATAAGCACGGGGAATATCATATTGCAGAATTAGACAATGCAAGCTAAATTACTATGCTGACAATTTAATTGTTAATTTAAATATTTTTTATAACATCATTGCATAAGATTTGAAATTTTAAGTATAAGTCTTAGAAATTTCTAAGTGTAGCCTACGAATTACATATATTAACAAAAATAAAGAAAAAGAATACATCCAATAGAGGATATTGATGCTGATGGATCCCAGAATAAGCATTTTAGTCGGTATAGATTACGTTAAGAAATAAAGAACAAAGGAAGGCGTGTGTATTATCAAGCAAATTTAAGAGTAAATTTCACTTTACCCCCTTAACCTTTTAGCTTAAGGAAACAATACCCCTTCACCTTTTAAACGGGAAAGGGAACCCCTTTGACCCAAAAGATCACAACCAACGAAATGAAAAATGCTCACCGGAATTTACAAAATGATATAATAATTAATCTTGTTTGGAGAGAAAACTAATGTCATCACGTCTTAACCAATTTAATTGCTTTTTTTAGTTAATGCCATGATAACAGCCATCAACCTACAAATATGAATAATAGGCATGTACTCCCGTGTTAATATATTGGACAAAGGAAAAAGATCAAATATTTAAAAGTAGCTTACATTGAGTTGTATCTCGCAATTAATCTTTATTCTTCATTATTCAACAATTATGGCTAATATCAATTTGAGCTAAGCTTGTTTGATGCCAATACCAAATTAGCAAATGGAAAAAACGAAGTCGAATTCTACTTTTTATGGTACGTGCAGAGTTATCTGTAGCAAAGTAATTAACGAGAAGATAAACTAAAATAATATTTAACCCATTACCGGTCTGTTAATATTGTATTTTACTACAATAACTCAAAGTTATATGTACTAGCTACTAGTTGGTGCCACACATCAATTTCGTGACTATTTACGAGATTAAGCCGCACCATGATTTAAATCTATTTATTCGTCAACCTTTATAATTAGTTGGCGCAAAAGAATTTGGAATGTCATTGGAGCCAGGTGTTCACATATTGATGATAATAAGATCCACAAAATAAAATGAAATATACTATATGTATTAGAATCAGTTTAATAACAACCAAATTAAGTTTCTTAAAAGTTGATTTAGTTATCTTAAAAGCCGGTTGAGTTTTCAGGTGATAGTTTTCTCATTGTGCTTGTTGATTCTTTAGTTAAAGGGGGTTCTCTTTCCTATTACAGATGGTGAGGGGTATTATTTCTCAACACTAAAAGGTTGAGGGGGTAAGGTGGAACTGAAATTTTGCTTAATTATTTCCCCTCTTTCAAGTAAATTTAAAAGTAATGTTCTGATCTAAGAGTTAAAATCCTAGTGCACTACAGTAAAAATAAGCTCAATCATATTAAAGCTAAATAGTAATCATACTAAATAATACGAAGTTTATGAATAGTAATATACCTTTTTTTCAAAAATTATTGAAACTCGTACAAAGTATTAACCTCTGCGAAAGGATTAAATAATGCGATAGAATTAACTAACAAGAATTGTCGTGATAAGTATTTTTTCATCCTTAATCAAGAGTCACATATTCGAACCCTGATGATGAAATCGCCTTGGATAGAGAGCGTTTTACTCCTAATATAGGATTTTTCTGTGCTAATCTGAATTTTATCGAACCCCAATACGAGTACTGAATACGAATCGAAGACAAAAAAGAAGTATTAAATATAAATTTCATATTTGACATGTGAACAGGAGAATAAAAGGATGATGCTGAATTGGTTTGACTAAAATGAAAATTTCCTTACAGGGCGATGAGGAATACTTGGATGGTCTTTCTTAGATTATTAATTCGCTCTAATTAGTAATTAATGAGTTTCTTGTCTTTTATAGCAATACACATATTTTCGTGCCTGTGACTTTACAAAATTGTTGAATTGATTAATCCGACGTTAGGTCGTTTACTTCTATTAATCAAAAGATTACAATTTGAGTCCGACGAGTTTGAATATATAAACGCTCTAAAAAGTAGAACTTGTTTTACTTTGATTAGCTTTCTCGACAAAATTGACTAGATTTAAGCCTGTCAATGAATAAACTAATTTAGGAAGGAGTACGGCTTAATTTTGCTGTTCAAGACAAGTGCTTTGACTACTTCCTGTTGCCAAATTTGGATCTGGCAAATGTTTTAAAAATTTGACCATAAGGTTTCGTTAACATTATTTCTCTTGGGATCTTTCTGGTCAACATTTTACTATAATAACTTTCAAAACCAAGTCCAATTAATGACCAAATTTGTCGCAGCTGATAAATGATTATTACGTAATAATGACACACATTAATTTAAATTTCAAATATAATATGGATTTTAACATATATAGATTGATCACATGATTCATGATAACATGTTTTTTAGTTTTTATCATTTTTATAGAGTTACGATACCTTGTTTGCTATATTAATTACCTTTAATTCAATTTCAAGTTATCTAATAACTGAAAAGTTATTCATACTGTTAGGGGTCGTTTGGGTTGATGACAAGTTATGCCGAGATTAGTTATCCTGAGATTAGTTATCCTGGTATTATTTCTTATCGACTGTTTGATATGTTGTATTAATCATGAGATTAACAATTTTACTGTTTTATCCTGGATAACTTATTCTGGGATTACTATTCTACCCTCTGGCAGGTATAAATTATTCTGGTATAATTTTTAATCCTGGAATAACTTATCCCAGGATTAGTAGCCAAACAAGGGATAAAGCGGTACATCTTTTTATTATTAGGACTTAGGAGTAACACTTAAGGGTTCATTTGGTTCGAGGATAAGTTATATCGAAATTATAATGCTGAGATAATACTCGTCCTCTATCTCTTTCATTCTTTGGAATGGAGGGAACAATATACTGTTTTCGTCACAGGCCTAAATTTACAAGAAGGCTTCCAATTTTATGACCCTTTCGTTTGTACACAGGATAAAAGAGGAAAGTAGTTATGAGACTTGCAATTTTTATCTTATAGAGACTTGATCAATGCCTCAGCTTTTGTCATACTTCTCTAGTGCCACATTTGCAAAACTTTTCGGATTCAAGCTTCTTTAGACCAAAAAGCTGTTGTCAAAATCAGAATCTCTTCTTTACAAATGTATTCTCCTGCTCCTGTTAGCCGTTAGGTTTTAATATTTGACACAATTCTCAGATAAAGCTGTTAGCTCAATTTGTAAGGTGAGTAAAACCATTCAACTCCGCCTGGTTATGACTCTGGGAAATGAGATATACAAGAAAAGCCACATATGCTGAAGCTCCCATGCAAACCACTAAACCAAACAGCATGCCATTAACTTCAGAAAGGAAGAAGCTCAACATAACATATCCATTTATCATTATTACCAGAGCAGCTACTGTCCAAACAGTTCTCTGCAATCAACAAGTGAAGTATCAGATACTGAACATAAGGTCCTCTGTCATAAATTACTAACATTTGGTTTGAGAAAAACAAGATTCCAGCCTTTAACCAAGGAAAGCCATTCACTTCTTTTTTAGTTAAGACCAAATTTAACTGAAAAAAGCGCGTAAAAAGGGTGCAGCTCATATGCAGAAAGCGAGCTAGAAACCTGTATGCAGGATAGCTCTAAAAGAAAAACCGGACCTAATCTACATGTTTAGGGAAATACAAAAGCCCTGCCAAAAAATCTAAAAGTTCTCCACCTATCATGGCTAGTCTTCTTTACATTCTTAATTTCCTATAGTCGTAGCTTGATTCAGATCATTAAAGTTAAAATTCAGCAAAAGGTAACAAGAATAGGAAAAAACATGTAAGAAAAATAGAGGTTGTACTCCAATTTTCTCACTTGCACTTCAACTTGACCTATTTAAGGGGAGAAGAACAGACATTACGGCGTCTTAATCATGCAAAACAACCTAAACCTGAGGAAACCATAATGGTGGAAGCAAAAACATAAAAGAATTCAACATTCTTCCCTAAGAGAATGAAGAGATAACAGTTATTCTTGTTATCAGCTGAGTCTGTCTGGGTTAGGGCAAAGAAAGCTACGAACAGCGACATCAACAAAGAGAGGTTTGGATCCTTCATATGTACTGATGTATGGGAAATGTCTAAAGTGGTGTGAGCAATTTGAGTCAGTTTTAATAAGCAACTAGTAAGTATTAACTTTGCCAATTAACTAAATGCAAAACACATATGTTACTGTTTAATGATTAGAGAGGATAATCATCATGCTAAAGGCCATTGACAAGGCGGTTTCTATTATAAATCAGTATTGCAAAGCTTCTGGTGGCTAACCTCCATAAGCTTCCCAATTTTGAAGACTCCCATGATCTGCTCATTTGACACCAATGTTAGAAGAGGAATGATAGCAAATGGGATCACCATTCCTTGTAGCACATTTAGCCATTCGTTTAATACATCAAGTGAATCCTCAGATCTGTTGAAATAAATGGCCACAATTATAGTTGGCACGATAGCACAACTCCTTGTAATCACTGACCTTATCCATTTCTTCATCCGCAGATTCAGAAAACCTCCCATAATAAACTGACCAGCATAAGTACCAGTCATCGTGCTACTTTGACCAGCGGCCAAAAGGCCAATGCCCCATATGTAGAGAATTGGAAACAACCCTCCACCATATCTTTCTTGAAGATATTGCCCAGCATTTACTAGCCCTATGCTATGCGCTTGTAGAGTTCCATAGAAACCTTTAGCAAAGACCGTTGTTACCATCAAATTGATAGAGAATGAAACAAAAACAGCAATTGATGACTCGATTGTATAGTAGTTCAATGCCTCTTGAACTTTTTCTTTCTTTTTGGGATCAATTTTCCTTGTCTGCACCAAAGCAGAGTATAGGAACACATTGTGAGGAGTTATGACACAACCAACAACTCCAACAGCTTTCTGAATTGTCTTTGAGCTGAGTCTTGGTAGCAAAAGACCTGAAAAACAAGCCAAGCTAAAGAAGTTAACGTAGGCGCAGAATTGATACTGACCACAGAGGTAAGGAAATGCTCATGTGAAAACAAGTTTTCTGACCTATTATGAGTTCCTTGCCATTAGGCCTAGTCTCAGCAAACATCCAGGCGAAAGATAATGCCATAGTGGAAATTAGAACAGCAAAAAACGCTTCTAGTTTCCTTACTCCATAATTTTCCAGAAACAAGAAGATGAAGCTGTTATTGAAACATAATAATCATTGTCAGCAGAGCAACATATCAACAGGCGTCAAGAACATTTCATCGTATAATTTTATTCATATTCTGTAGGCCTAGACATTAAAAATTAACATTTTCAGTTTCAATGGATTGAACTAAAAAACTAAAGGCGGATCTAGGATTTCTAGAACATGGGTGCACCACTATAAAAAAGAGAAAAAAGAAAGAGTTTAGTGAGAACTGATCCCTCCTCCTTAGGTAAATAACTCAACACTCAACCAAGCGCACAATTAAGCCTTTTTGGAGCATGGGGCCAGCAATAATTAAATTAATTCTAAGAAATATGTACATAAAATAACTAGTTTGTCGGAAAGATCATGGGTTCACGTGCACCATAATTTGGGCCTAAATCCGCCCCCGGGGACAACGTCAAAGGATGTGGGTTAACAGCCAATATAGTGAGTGAAAACCATAACAGAGACTAGGGTTTAAATCCCCATTGTGACGAAAAAGATAGGTGATTTCTCCTAAATATGCAGAATTATCCGGCTACACTATGGTGGTGGGAGGTAGCCGGGCATCCAATGAAATAGTATTCGGTCGAGACGCGCACAAAGTGACTCGGAGACCATCATTATAACACAAACAAATACTAACAAAAAGGGGAAACAAGAAAAGAAACAAAAGGAAAAGGAAAAGCTCACCAATCTGAAGCAGTAATGAGGACACCACCCCAAAGAGGAATAACCCCACAACTAAGTATCTTAATAGCAATGGCACTTCCTATAACTTCCTGAATATCAGCTCCAATCAAAGCCACCTCCGCCATTAACCAAAGCAAAATCCTGACCCAATTTGGATATTCCTCCCGGCAGATCTCAGCCAAGTGTCGGCCCGTAGCAACACCCAATCTAAGAGACAATAGCTGTATAAGCAAGCCCATAAAAGTGGACCACATAAGCAACCAAAGTAACGAGTAACCCGCAATGGCTCCAGCCTGCAAATCTCCTTCCAAATTTCCAGGATCAAGAAATGCAACGCTCATTAAAAACCCAGGTCCTGTAAACTCCCATAGCTTCCTCCAAGAAAAAGGTGGGACCACCCCTGGAACATCACCGGCGTCAGCTTTCTCAATTTCAATGGCCAAGATTTTATCTTTAGCCTGATCATCATAATCATCTGATAATAGACGATTCGATTCTCGTGTGCCATTGTGCTTCGGTGATGGAGAACTCATCGTATTTTGTCGACTTAGTTCTATACGTTTTTTCTACTAGACATGGCCAAAATATTTGGCTCTAATATCACTCATCACGGAGCTGATTAATATTTAAGACCAACAGACCCAGATCTTGTCGATGCAGGTGCGTACAATAAAAATATGTAACCATTTTCACATTGTCGGTGATTAAGGTAGGGGGACCACCATTTGCATTTATTCTATTCAAATTTGCTTTTTCTGTAATTCATGAGGCCGAAGAAGATTTTGATCTGTACATCATCAAAAGTATCTCATAAGAAGAATGCTTGTTTTTTCTTCTTTCAGAGAAAATAATTGATTGAAAGCCTTCATTCTCAATTTTTAACGTTACTCCTATGCCGTGTCCATGCAAAACCCCAGCTTATGCATATAAGGAACCACGATTTCAATTTTATGGGTTCTGATTTTTAGAACGACTGTTTCAAGTGTTTAGTGAGTAGGTTCTAAATTTAATATTTATACATATTTAATGAATTCTAAATAAACTAATAGGTTCGGCTGAACAGGTATTTCAACTTGTGCCTCTGCCCCTCCTTATAAGGTCAGGAGTTTTTGATGGAAATGCAAGATTTGATATGATACAGGAGCATATGTTTGTACTTGTTATTCTTATGTTAATCCGTCTTCATTTATACTTCATTACGACGAACATAAAATACAAGGATTTAGTAAGTACTCCATAAGATATTATCCAGCTTTAACGGCCTATTCATATGCTTGTCATGACTCCTATTTTAGATACCGTGGTATTTTGTGTTGATTGTGAATAATTTTCCCTTCTGCTGAAAAAAAAAAAAAAAATAGAAAAATTTCAACCTGTTAACCTACCTCTCCACTTACAATGAATATATCAAGGTATTTGCTGATTCGGTCTAATAAAAGTCTTTATTTGAGTTTTAAAAAAAAGGTAGCAGTGTCTAATCTATATCTATCTATCTATATCTATATATTATTATAAAAGCACGAATAATTTATGCTAAATGTTGAACGACTAAAATATCCCTGAAATATTGATCGACTTTTATGCCCTTAAGTATTTGTATAATTTAAGGATCTAATTGTAAATTATCAAATGATTGAATTCTTTTCCAATTTAAACTATACATACACCGACCCTACAAAGTTGATCCTACTTGGATTAGAAAAGCGCGTCCATAATTTTCTTTTAAAAAAAATTATCGTTCCTAATTACAACAAATACGTAATTTTGTGGGAGCATATGAGATTTCTACTTGGAGAACTTTCTTTCTTTCTTATTTACGTTAGGAATTTTAAGAAGTCTCTTTAACCTTTTTATTGTGTAAGGAACTTCATATAAATTTCATTCATTTCTGTAAAGTGTTTTATTTTTATTTACGTAATAGGAAATTTTTTACAAATACTAATACATTTCCTTGGAATATAATATAATGATTCCGTCTTGAATAGGTATTTTTTCCTTTCACGATAGGATATTTGGAAAGTTCTTCGATACCTTTTATTTATTTTGTTAGGAACTTACGGAATGTAAAATTCACGTACTTTTTAACTAGAGATTGGATTGATCAGGATTGGAGTTAAATTATTTTCTAGCGGTAACAATATAATTTTCTTTTGAATATTTGTATAGTTAAGCATTTATATTTTATTAAATATGACTTTTGTAACGATTGAAATAGGACAACGTGCAACAGAAGAAAAAAAAAATGCCAACAGAAGGTATGAATGACTTAATACACTTTCTATTTTTGGTTTCTTTATTACTAATATATCTTGAGTAAATATGATTTTCATGTATTTGAATCGTTAAGGCTTAAATAAATCAAACAAAATTATTGAATCAGAAAAATAATCTTAAGTATTGTTGTATTCTTTAAGTGATTTTACAAATTTAATTGCATAATTTTATAATTCCATAATATTTAGTTCTATTTTGTCCTTTCATTATGCCAAAACATTATTAATTTGTTCATTTGGATTGTATATTATATTTTTTTCGTTTCAAGGAAACAAATTATTAAACTTTGTACATATTAAATTTCATATATATTCCGTTGCAATTAATTTTAGAATATTATGCAATTGAAATTTTATTATTTTTTGTATGTGTTTCATAATATTTGACATAAGATATTCGTGCATCGCACGAACGCAGAGACTAGTACTATATTAAAAGCACGAAGACCCCTACTGAAATATCGTTCACCTTTTTTACCCTTTAAAAATAGATTTCACATTGGATAAAATTGTAATTTAATTATTCTCCTAAAATATAGGATTTTAAAATCAAATAAAATTATGATTATTAAATCTTTCATTATTTGAACTATATAGAAACTCATAATTTTTAAAACTATTGAAATTTACTATAAATAAACCAATTTGACTTTTCTAGATCCCTTTACCCATAAAAAAACATACTCCAAAATTTATAAGAAACAAACTAATTTGAATTAAACTATAATTCCTTCAAAATGCGTAAGAAGGAAATTTTATCTACTTTTGCCTTTGAATTGTGCTCGTTTCTGACTACCAAGTGGTAGCCAAGGGTCTCTAACAAATTTTATTGTTAATTTGATTTCTTTGAAATGATTTTTGAAAACATGTATCCTAAATGTAAATAAAAAAGAAAATTATCTTTTTAAGAAGGAACAAAGTTGTCTTTAAATATTTAGCAATTCCCAATTTAAATAAAAAATAAATATATTGAGTGTAATTGCAATTTTATCTAATATGAATTATGAAATACACTTTAATTTATATGGTTAATAGAAAAATAGAATACTCGTAAAATTCTAATCTATTACTATATTAAAAGCACAAAAGCCCTTAGCGAAATATCGTTCGCCTTTTTTACTCTTTAAAAAATCGATTTTACACTAGACAAAATAGTCATTTAACTATTTTCCTAAATTTTTGGACTTCGAAATCAACTAAAATTTGATTATTAAAATCTTTCCTTATTAGAATAATGTAGGAATTCCTAATATTTAGACTTTAAAATCAATTAAGGTTTACAAAAATCCTTTCCAACTATGTAACAATAACTATACTAGAAGTAAGGAAAAACGAAAAAATATCAAAAATGGAAGATCTAAATAATAAGGAATATAGAAACTTTTAACCATTCTAATCAGAAAAATAAATTTTAAAAGGTATAAAGCACGCACATAGTACATTTCATTCAACAAAATCACTATGATAACTTTATTTTTTTAACTAAAATATTCCTCATCATATCCAATTAGAATTCCTTTTGCCTAAGACCCCTCAAGGTGTATATAGGATTTTCACACAAAATGTGCAACATAATTATGTAGTTTAAACAGAGACCATATTGATTATTAATTTATTTTTGGTTATAAGAATTTATTATGGTATTGCATATCTTCACAAGAGTTATGAACAAGATAAAGTAATTATAGTTCTCTCCATGTTATTTTAAAACTATACATATGAACTATACATAATACATTTCTATATGATACATAGTATTCAAATTGTTAAGTTATTTATTGTAGAATACTCAATCAATTTATTATTTTTAGCATTATATTATTACTTATTCGTTTTTTCTCTAGGAGCTATCGAACCAAACCCTTTTATTCCCAAAATTTTAGATTACCAAAAAATTCAATCTTTAAATTTGTGTTATTTGACAATATTTAATGAATCATGATAAAGTTTGTGTGTGTGTGTGTGTGTGTGTGTGTATATATNAAATATTTACGAGAAATCAATGTTACTTCATCCTGATCATATCTTCTGCATGTTTATTGTATGAATGTTTATATAGAGAGTTAAAAATTATCCTTACTGATATGAGGTGCACGCCTAACATGCGTCTTAAATTTCTCTATATATGAACTATGCATAAATTCTTAATATTTAAAATTTTAATTTTGAGTAAAATTTTACGTTTATAAATATTTTTCTTATTCGTCATAATTTAAGAATGACTTATATAGGATCAGTAATCATCATCTTCATGAATTTATATTTTTATTTTGCAACTTAAACATAATTTTTAATATAATATTTATTTAATTTTTAAAAAAGTTTAAACTCATTGAGAAAAGCGTATACTGAGACTAGTAATACAAATTCCTTTTATCCTTTCTTTTAATTTGGAAGCAGAATCATCCAAAGTCCAAACAGAGCACAAAATGAAATCTCCACCCCCCACTCCCGTTAATGTCACAGAGCAAAAAGAGAGAAGCTATGGATAGGAGTTGAGCATAAAAAGTAGTACTTATTTCACAAGAAAAGATCCACGCACTTCTTTTGTACTTCTAATCAGCTGAACCAAAAACTATATTACTGCACAATCGAAAATTCTGTTATAAAAATTCAATGGCTTTGAAGTTGTTCTGCATCTATTCGATAAATACAACATTGTGGATCGTATTCACCTGCAACGAAGAAGTATCTTCATCCGGCGGAATATATACTTTCCTCATCCTCTATATCTGATGTCAATGTCCTGAATAGTTTGCTCCATTATTTCTTTTGGGGAACCTACAACTAAAAGCAAATGCTGACAACTATTGGACATCTATTATGACAGTTAGGACAACACTATCAAATTGGAATCTCTTCAGGTGAAAAAATGCTTCAGTAACCAAACTTCCCGAGCCATGGCCTCTCTGCCATGTCGTGAATTACTATTTACGACATTTGGATTTGATGGAATATATTATCTTACATGTCTCATTGACCAGCATAGCTATATCCTTTTGTGCGGAGTAGGTTGAACCAATTGGCAACATTGCCACCACCATGTGAAATAAGGTACAAAATGAAGGCAATATAACCTGCAGTCCCAGCACAGACCAGAAAAGCAAATAGCAGCCCGTTCACCTCAGAGATAACGAAGTCCAGCAAAAGATAGCCGTTTATCACCATCACTAGTGCAGCAACAGTCCATGCAACTCTCTACAGTAATATTAAAAGGGCAATTCAAAAATAGGATTCACATAAAAAATGCACCCGACACAAGACAGTCCAAAATTTAGGATACAAAACTTAAAATGCTAATGTTTACGAGGCTTCATACATGCAATAGGGTAACTTAGTCTGCAATATAACAAATAAGCCAGAGAACTCTGAAAGGACTGTACATTTGATGTAGTATTAGTTTGTCTTAGTCATAAATGTATCAGCTGGGTACAATCACAAAACAAACAAAAAAAGGGTTCTTTATGGAATGGGGTGTTTTGTAATATTTTTATTAAGATTGTTCATTATCAATTGATTTAGATATATATCATTAAGCACCGAAAGATGTTACCTAGCGGTCAATAGACCGTGGAGACTAACGTTCAGATTCTACTAGAGATAAAAGAAGT